GTATCAAAGCAAGAGAAAGAGTCTGTGCCTCTTTTCTCCCCTTCCCTCTTGGTTGAGTGTTGTTTTGGCATCTTGTATACACCCATATTAGTTAATTATTAAGTATATGTCTTGCAAGGCAGTTCTTTGCCTTGTGCAGACTTTTTTTTTTTTTTTTTTTTTTTAAAGGGGAAAATCATTGTGAAATGAACATGGTGATTAGTAAGCAAGGCAAGCATGCAGGGTCATGTACCAACTCACCAGCATTTTCTTGTGAAAGGAAGACTCTAAATTCATTTTCAAAATGCCATGAACAGCTCATTGGGGCCATTACCACTTGCCCTCTGCCCTCTTTCCAAGTTATAAGCCACTTTGTGTATTTGCCTCAGAGAACAATTAGGCACCACCCTGGCGTTTCTCCAATGAATAACTAATTGAAATGCTTACCAGTAAGGAAGGCAGGCTTCCTCCAGAACCTGGATCTTTCTCAGAGCATGCACTGTTTAAAATAGGTGTCAGGGTGTTCCTGAGGTCCTAAGACAACCCAAATGAGGGAGATTTTCATAAAACTTGGTTGAAAGTCACTTTCTTTTACTACAGGGTCTTATATTGGAGGTGGGGGCAGAATGAAGAGAGGAGGAGGTTAAACTGGGGATAATGACACACAGCTGTAGAGCTATAATGACAGTTGCATGATTTTGGGCGGCAGGACCCCCTCGTGTTGAAATGCAGTTTTCACAGGAAGAGGTCCACAGATCGGAATATAACAACCCCATACAATCCAAGAGTTTGATTTGGTGAATGGAATTCACCAAGGGAGAGCTGCTTAATTTAGGATCCAGGACCACTGATGACATCCAGGAGGTTTTTTCTTCCTTCCTTTCTCTTTCTTTCTTTCTTTCTTTCTTTCTTTCTTTCTTTCTTTCTTTCTCTCTCTTTCTTTCTTTTTTAATTTAAATTCAATTAGCCAACATATAGTACCTCATTAGTTTCAGATGTGGAGCTCAGTTATTCATCAGCTGTATATAACACCCAGTGCTTGTTACATCACGTGCCCCCCTTAATGTCCAGTATCCAGCTACCCTGTCCCCCCACCCACCTCTCCTCCAGCAGCCCCCAGTTTATTTCCTACAGCTAAGAGTCTCTCATGGCTTGTCTTCCTCTCTGATTTCTTCCCTTTCAGTTTTCCCTCCCTTTCCCTATGATCCTCCACACTATTTGTTATGTTCCCCATATGAGTGAAACCAGATGACAATTGTCTTTCTCTGATTGACTTGTTTTGCTTGGGATAATACCCTCCAGTTCCTTCCACGTCGATGTAAATGATAAGATTTCATTCTTTTTGACGGCTGAGTAATATCAGGATATTTCTTAAAAATACAAAGTCCTGGGACCAACTGCAGACCTATCAAAACAATCTTCCAGGAGAGAGAGAGTGCACGAGCCAGGTGGGGGTTTGGGAGAAGAGGGAGAGGGAGAGTCAGTCCTAAGTAGGTTCCATGCCCAGTGCAGAGACCAACACCGCTTGATGTCACAACCCTGAGATCATGACCTGAGCCAAAATCAAAGAGTTGGACACTTAACCTTAAGCCATTTCTGGGTGATTCTTAAGCACACTGAAGTTTAAAGCCGCCAGAGACCTCTGTCAGTTTTATTCATTGATGTATCCTGGTGCCTAGAACAGCAATTAACACAGCTCCATAAACACCTGTTGAATGAATGAGGCCCTCAAGCGTTTGAGGCACTTGGAGGCTCCAATTATGGTTATCTTCCACACCGCCTAATCCACACTGCTGTCGCACAGTGAGTGTAATGTCATATTCCACAAGGGATCCTCCTAGAGAGGCTGAGGGGCAGGGGAGGCTCTCCCATCTCTAACAGCTCAGCAAATTGTCCCTATTTTAACGGGTGCCCATGTAGATGCCATTCTGCCTGTACTTAACTGCAAAAGCCATGACAGAGACCAGCCTCATAGCTTTGCATCCTTAAAAAATAAAAATGGGGAAAAAAGGGGGAATAAAAACGACATAAGTAGGACACCAGACCCAGCCTGTGAGTAAATACCTCTCTACTCATCTCCCATAAGTGAAGATGGGGCAAACTTCTGTAAGCCATGGTTTTATTTGCAGGCAGAAGAGCCAAGAAATCAAGTTTCCTTCCTAATCATTCAAACCACAGGAAAGAGAAGATGGGGGAAATGCAATCTTGCTTTTGTATATACAACGTGCTAAGACTATATTTAATGATTTATTAAGAAACCACTGCATCCTTAGCAGGTAGATGGATAAAGAAATTTGTACATCTATACAATAGAACACTACTCAGCAATAAAAAAACTATTGATACATACACCACATGAATTTCAAATGCACTTTGCAAATGGAAAAACACTAACCTCAAAAGACTAGATATTCTTTATGGGACACTCAGGAAAAGGCAAAACTATAGGGAGGTGGCAGGGAACAATGGTTGCCTGATTAGGGTGAGGAAGGGGCTAAGTTTAACTACAAAAGGAGAGCACGAGGGCATTTTTGGGGGTGAGGGAACAATTCTGTATCCTGCTTGAGGCGGTAATTACAGGAATCAATGCATGTATTAAAACCCATAGAACTGTACACCAAATAAAGTTAATCTACTGTATATAAACTATATTTAAAAAACCCCATTGCACACACAACATAAACTCATTAGGTCTCTGAGACACTTTCCTTCTCTTGATCAGTTTATCAAGGAGGGAAACATGAACGGCTGGTTCTTGGGAGTATGTATGAAAGGGAGAGAACACTGCTCTACCACATGGTTTAGGCTATATCATACCTGGTGCCAAATTTAGCATTTTATAAACTGGAACCTTTTTGTAGAAAATTCCTTTATTATAGTGCAAATAACTTTCAGCAGTGACATTATAATGTAAGAACACATTTAGCAACATTTTACACCACGCAGTAAATAAGAAAGTGTTTCTTTGAAAATATGTCATCATAATAACATTATTCCTACATTAATGCCGGAAAATACCAAGGCTGTTTCTCTCAAGGCAACAGGGCTCCCTCCCTCTTTTTGGATATTTTCTTCTTAATAGAAATGAAAGGATTTGCTATTTTAACAAGTCGCCATCATTTCCCAGAGTGATTTCTTAGGGGGTTTTGAACCGAGGTTGGCAAGATTTGAAATGGGGTTTCAGATTTTAAAAAAATAATAATTTTAAGACAATTCTGGGACAGCCCAGAAAATAAAGTCACTTCTATTAATTTTTAAGTAGATATATACATTCATTCCAATTATGATGCAGAAGTGGACAGATTGTCTAAAGCCTGCCTTTTATTCTCCCAGAGCCTGATTGTTATTTATATTCCTTGGTTTTGGTCATGTTGCAAAATTAGGGCTCTGGTCAGAAATAACTCCTTACATACCCAAATGCTCTCCTGTGAAGCTTTAAATTGCACTTTCCACCCTGAATTCTCACCTTAGACCTCACATGCCAATGAGAGGCAAGAACACTGTTTCCAGTTGACAGCTAATGAGTAACACAGCACCCGCCCCCCTTGCTAATTGAGCTCCACCTGAATCAATCCATCACATCATTTAGATTAATTCCAACAGGCTCATCCAAGAGGTTCCCACTGGGCCTCCCAGAGAAAGGAAGGGTTAACAGTGTATCTTTAAACTGAGCTGCCTAAGGGCTTGGCAGCTAAGCGGTTAGCTGATCAGCAGAGAGAACAGTGTCCCTTCCAATCAGCCACAAGCACAGCTCCTCCTGTTTCTGCTGAATTATGCAGTGCGTGGGGATGGACGGCCACTCAGAGGAAACCTCCTGTGGGGGTCTTCCTCCAAAACCCCTACAAATATAGTTCAGGGTGTCCTCAAAGTGTCTGCACGAACACACTTCAACATCTAGCGGCTTCACAAGCCATGAGAAGTGAATCACAGGCTTGAAAGTACCTGCAGCCGAAGAAGAGCCCTCTTGGCTGAATATGGCTGATTAAGTCAGCTGGTACATAAAGCTTTTCAACACTCAGCCAGTTTTGTTGGATAAAGTTATCTTCTTATATAACGCGATGGAACTGTGCTAAACAGTTTCAAAGTTGAGAAGAACCCAAATATATCACCTATAAAAAAGTCACAATTTTAGTTTGCTTTTTCTTAGACTTTGGTACTGAAACACTGTCTACATTCTCGACACGTGGAAGTGACGTGGGCACTTCCGTGCCTCTGCATGTCGTGTAAAAAAAACGCAAAAGCAGAGCAGGACAAGGATGTGTCCTAACATGATGCAGTACGCTGTACAAACAAAACCTAAATTATATATAAATACATCCCCACCCCAGCTCCCCTTTTTCCTCCCCCCATCCCCACTACCTGACCAAAGCAATGCCAAGGGTCCTTCTCTCTAGCGCCAATGCACCTAGAATGTAGGTGAACGGCCAGCCATCCCTTGCCAGGAGGTGATATTCACACCAAGGCCGCCTCCTCCTGGAGATGCTCTGCTGTCAGATCAGCTCCACAAACGCAGGGAAACTCTTACAGCTTAATTTGAAACATTCACACTATTGGCTGGACTCCAAGGATCTGGAGTCCTGGGAGTTAACCTTCCAGATAAACTAATTGGATCATTTCCTAATCTGGATCCCCCCCCCCGACCCCGACCCCCCCATCCTAATGTCTCAGCGCAGCTAACAGAGTAGGAAGCAGCCTCTCCTCTGAAGTTCCAAAGACATTGCTTAGGGATATTGGTGAGGGTCACATAAGAAAAGTTAACACAATGACCTAACAGCTTAAGTTGATATAAATTATTTCCAAGTAAGTTATCTGGGGCCATTTGCTTCTGCTTTACACTGCATTCCAGTATCGTTTTCATAGTATACTTTGAAAAGTTTATATAATAGTTATTTTAAAAATGGTCTCATATATTTTACCTAGTTTAATAACAACTTAACGAGCTGTTATAAAGACCTAGGGAAATGTAGTTAATTAGTCTTAAGGAGGCCAATACTGTGCTAATTCACAGTAAGGAGAAAACATGATATAAATAGAATTTATGTAACTGTCGATTACTTGAAAAGCAATTTTATCGAAATGTTGCAAACTTTTCCCAAAAGCACTTACAGCAATTTATATCAAGAGATCCTAAGTTTAGGGGTATGGAAGATAACAATTCTTTCATGATTGTAATATGTAATTTTCCCCTTTGGACCTAAGATATCTGTACATTCAAAAGTTCATAACTTGCTGTTTTTGAGACATTAATCATTCTCTAATACATACATTGAGTATAAATAAATAACTACGAGAAAGCTTTAAAAATCTGAATTAACATTATGCTGTGCAAAAACCAAAAAACAAGAAAAAAAAAAAAAACCAAAACCAACCAAACCTTGAACAACCTACATTCTATGTAAATACCCTGACTAAAATGTCGGTTGTGCTACACACTTCACTTCAGTGCAGAAATGAGTTGATCTCGGTGTACCGTCTTTGTTGGCGGTGGTGTTAAGTCTTTAGCACTTTTGTTTCTAAGTATCACCTTGCTTTGAAAAGATGAATAACTTGCTACCAGATCACAAATTATCACAAATCCATGTCAATATAGTCTGAATAAAATCCAGCATAAATGTATTACTTTGTTCTGGAAATAATGGCTCGGTGTCTTTGTTCTGACAGCTTCCTAAGGGCAAACCACAGTTTGGAGTTGTCATTTTGGGTTTAAACTGCACAGAAAGAAGAGACAGTAAAGCCTGCTTTTTGTTTTTGTTTTCTTTTTAAGTCTCCAGGTCTTGCTAGCACACTTCTTCCAGACCCACAGTCAGGCAGTTGTGGCACCTGATCCTACGTGAAACAGAGGAGGTTTAAACAGCATCAGCCAAGCTTAGTGATCTGCAGGTCCCCGTTTATCTTTATGGTGTCAATTGCAGATAACGTTTGAATGCGGTGGTAAAAATCAAAAAGTTGGTGTCCATCCACAAACACTCTGAAACGTGGGTGCTCACAGAGAATTTCCACCTAGAAGAAACAAAATCAGGATTTCAATGAACCTGCTGGGGAAAACACACACACAATACTTTATTTTAGAGAAAGGCAACATCTTCAGCAGTTCTCAAACTCTGGAATCACACAGAAGTGTAACAGAGACCACTGGACTCCACCCCCCCCAAAATTTCAATTCAGCAGGTCTAGGGTAAAATCTAAGAATCTGCATTTCCATCCAGTTCTAGCATGATGGTACTACTGCTGGAATGAGGAACACACTTTGAGAACCACTCTTCTTCACTCTTCAATATCCTTTAAAGATTTTAATTGTTCATGCTTGAACACATCTCCGTTCTCCAAAGCGACATAAAGCAGAACAGATTTATTTATATGGCACTTAATGCCTCCACGGTCATCCCCTGAACCTATGCCACCCCCAGAAGAGACCCTCACAGAGATCCACTGGCCCCCACTTAGTAGCATGTAATAACAGTCCAGGCACCCAAGCATGGTAAACATTAAAGCTGACAGAAGGTTACACAGTAATTACCACTGGACCAAGGATGTGTAATTAACAAGGCTTTGTTAAGCCAAACAGAAATGCTGATTCCATATGGTAAAAGCTTTTTCTTCCTCTTTTCCTTAAGTAATTCGCTATAGATTTTAATCATTGGTTCTGTGCTGTGTATTTATTAAAAGCATCAGTGGCTACCATGTAAGAAGAGACTTCATATGTGATATTAGTCACATTTAATTCATATTATTACTAAAATTATATCACCAAGAAGGGCTGATTTCAGTTCAATTTGGTTGCTGGGGAGCATTATATTCCTCTTGGCAGACAGAGGCTCTGGTTACTCATACTCATGAGCTACGTATGCATTACGATTCATCATTAAGAAATTGTCACAGTCAAAAAAAAAAAATGAGAGAAAGAAACTGTCACAGTCAAGAGGAAGCTAAGGAGCCATTACAATTCTAGAGAAGAGGAGGGCACAGGATACGTACGGGTACCTTCCCCAGACTATGATTAGAAGGCAACAATCTCAATTCCATCACTGACATAAAAGTCATGGGTTCTTATTCCCCCCACCAGATGGCAAGGTGAGAAGAAAAATTATTACTCCTTCATAAGGCCCTTGTGAATGTCTAGATGAAGAGCAACAGGTTAAGGGCAGTTGTGCTTTATTAGGCATTTACGCAACATGGAGCTTTTAACTGAGCTGTTATTATTGTGATGTGTGTTAACAAGGTATAGTACGGACAACTTCATCACCAGGCCTGGTAGTTCAGTAAATCCTGTCCTAACGCATTACCCACATTACTTGCATCTCTTACTCGGCACTGTCCTTCACAGAGGAAGGTGCTACTAACATTGCTTGGTTGGATGGGAAGTTTGGGTTGTGCTTCCTGCCCACTAGATGGTGGAGAGCCAAGTTATACCCATCCAGGTCCAAGGGAAGGAACTTGTCAGCCACAGAGCCTGTGACGATAAAACAGACTGAGGCTTGTCAACCCAGAAGGAGAAACAAGGACCAGACTTCATTAGCAAAAGTAACAAGAGAAAATGAAAAGATTATCGCTATTGTTCTTTTGAAAAAAGTCACAACTAACAAGGTTCAGTGCTCCTTATAGGTTGAAAAAAAATGAGGAAATTTCTAGCACTTATTATTTATTAATCAATCAGGATATTTTGGGACAGGTATAGATTACATGCCTAGTACCAGGTTGAGTACTACACAGAAAAGTATTTATTCTTAACAATCTGGACATGGGTTTATTTACTAAATGTACTGGGTAAACAGAGCCAAGAGCTACTATGGTAAGTATTAGTTTGTATTAGCAAACAGAGCTCTTTTCATCATTTTTCTTTCTTTCACCATCAGGTGACAAATTTCCTAGACATGCAAAAATTTGGCGGCTTAAAGCATTCTTGGCATCTGCTGGAGGAGCAGAGCACCAGTGCTCTGCCAGCCGCTGGACTGGAAGCGCTCGAGGTACTCACCCTGAATGGCTGGTCTGGGATGAATGGAAAGTAAGGGATTGCAGACTGTTCTTCACCTCTTTCCCCAGATATACAAGAATTTCTAAGTAGTTGCCGGTCTGTGAACACAGCTTTGAGTTCAATGGCCACATCGGCGGGAGGGTCTTCGGAGTCACCACAGGTCAAGCTGATGGCAAAGCTGAAAGAACATCCTCTCATTTATTCTGGGTTTGGCTATCCATGACCCAGGCTCCCCTAGTTCCTCCTCCTCCTTGGGGTTTGTCTGCTTTGAATGGGCCACTACTATTTGCATAGGAGATTACACCGTGTATGCAGGAGGAGGATTAAAATGAAGCCCGACATCTTAATATTGAAAGCAGGCTCTGGTAAAAACTTTGGTGGAGGAGCGCCTGGGTGGCTCAGTCATTAAGCGTCTGCCTTTGGCTCAGGTCATGATCCCAGGATCATGAGATCGAGCCCCGCATCAGGCTCTCTGCTCAGTGAGGAGCCTGCTTCCTCCTCTCCCACTCCCCCTGCTTGTGTTCACTCTCTCCCTGTCTCTCTGTCAAATAAATACATCTAAAAACAACAACAACAAACTTTGGTGGAGTTGAACATGACTAACATTAGGACTTTCAGATACCCCAAACCACCCACACATCTGTGTCTATATCCACCTTAGATTCTCAAAAACAGCCCCAGAAACTGACCAGGGGAAATAGTATCCTATAATGTCGCTTGTCATTTATATTGATAGATCTTGCTCCAAGCACCATGTTTAAAAAAACCTTTAAAGAAAAAAAAAGTACTTTGGCCTCCTTAAGGGTCAAAGAGAAAATGATGTGGGCCGATATTTATAATCTTTGATATAAATAGCTGTCTGGAGAAATGATGGCTGGGATTCATACACATTCTTTTCATGGGAACATGGTACTTTCTTGGCACTTCCAATTAGCAACACTGGCCAGGAGGAGAGGAGGAGGAGGAGGAGCAAACAACCACAACAAGAGTGGGCAGGGCCTTGTAACTGCCTGATAAGCCTTGGGGTGACAAGGACTCTCTGTCTTACCTCTCTGGGTTGAGGTCAACAATGCCCATCACCAACACCTTCTTGCCTGGTCTCATGCCGCCTTTAATGTGCCCACAGAATGGAACTATCTGCAAAGGATGACAGGAGAACAGGAAGTTTACTGCCTGTCTGAGAAGAGCCAAGCCCTCAGATCCTGAGTACCTGACCCATTAGAAAATGCAATTAGAAAGGAAAAGGGTACAGGCAGAGACACAGAGCACAGAACTAAACCACTTACCAGTCGTGGGAAGTACACGTCGGCTTGAACTGGAGAGCCCAAGGAGTTGTTTAAATGCCCATCATCTAGTTTCTAAAAATAGCAGCACACAGATTGGCTTTCCAGAGGCTCTAGTTTTGGGGTGTGGGGGCTGGGAGGAGAAGGGGAGGGAGTGGGGAAGCATCTATCCGAGTCTGGCTGAATCCAGCAGCCTTCACAGGACACAGGCAGCATCTGCAGATGCTGCCACCTCACAGCCCATTGAACAACCACATAAAGCCCGGGAACAAAACCCGTCCTTTCCACCCCGTAGCTAAGCTGCTACCGAAGATCCCCAGACCTTCAGATCTAGATCAAAATCCAGGTCGAGGCACGCCGGGGAGCCAGAGCCCCGCGTCGGAGGAGGGGAGGCCCGTCTTCAACCGCAAACGCCCCTGGACCCGCAGTCGCCCAGGCCTGTCCTGAGGGACGCGGCCGGGGTGCAGGGCCGCGCTCAACTTCTCTCCTGGCCCCCCTCCCGCCTTCCCGGCCAGACCTATTTCCAAAGGGGAATCCCCGGGACGTCGGAGGCGGCCGCGGGGCGCGCACCCCAGACACATTCACACAAGCGCACGCTCACACGTGCAGCGTGCACACACCTGGCCGCCGGCTGCATGGCACGGCGGGGGCTGTCACCCCCACGCTGCCGTCCGCCCCCATGCACCCTCTCCGGTGCACCCGGGGCATCAAGCCTGCCCCCCGCACCCCCTCCAGGCCGGCCGCTCACAGCCGGCGCTGGCTAACAGGTACCGGGCGCCTTCCCACGCGGGGGGCGCCCGGCTGGGCCTCAGCCTCCTCTGCGCCGCAGCCAAGCTGAGCGAGCGGCGGCGTGCGGGGCCGCGGGAAGGGGACGCCTCGCGTGCACCCCTCCGCACTCACCACCGCGGTATCGCTGTCGGCCACCGATCCCGCCATCTTCTTACACGGCGCGCCGGGGTGCACGGCTGGCGGCCCGGCGGCGGCGGCGGCGGCGGGGGGACGTGGGACGCGGCGCGCGGGCGGGGATCCCGGGGCGGTCCTGCGCCGGGCGTGGGCGCGGGTCCGAGGCTGGTCGGGCGTGCGCACACACACGCGGGCGCGCGCGCGCGCGCACGCCTGGGGCCAGGCGCCGACCGGGCAGGCTGGGCCGGGGTGGAGGTGGAGGGGGAGGGGAGCGGGAGGCGGCGCGGGCCGGGAGGTCGGAGGTGGCCGCAGCTGCCCGGACCGGGGTTGTCGAGTCGCGGCTGCTTTCTTCCTCGGGGTGCTGCTGTCGCCTCCCGAGGCAGAAAGGTGACGAGGGCCGCGTCGCGCTGGCCCTGGGCGGCATTTAAAGGCCGCCGGGGCCCGGCTCGGGAACTGGGAACAGGGCGGGGACCCGGCTGGGCTGCCGCGGCTTGCTCAGCTTGCCCTGCCCCTCGGCCATTGGAAGGTGGCGGGAGGCTGAAAGGGGGAGGGACGGGCCAGTCGCAGGGCGTGCGGGAGGGCGGGGATCCTGGGGGCTAGGGAAGTGGGGACCGGGGCCTGACAGGTGACAGGTGCTTGTGACACCTTCGCCCCTCCCTTCCAGCCAACCTCCTTCCTACTGTCACGTCCAGGGGCAGGTGGAACGGTGGAGGCCGAGGTCAAGGGAAGACTGGAGTGTGGGGACGGTATTCCAGAGCTCCAGATTTCTGTCAGAAAATTCCAACAAAGTAGAGCAGAAGATTCCTTCGGCCCTCTAGGGTAGAAAGATAATGAGAAGGCTCTACATTTGCGTAAATAAATATTTGACCTGAAAGCAAAAGGCAGAGAGGACTCCGGGTAAAGACTTTTTAATCCCAGGAGGCTAGGTACAGAATAGGCCTCTCTCCCTTGTGGACTGATGGGCAGGTCTGGGAGACCCTGGAGGCTCTCCAGGGCAGGGATCTGGCTACCTCTTACCAAGCAGAAATGCTCCCAATGAATCCTCAGCCCCCACTGGGCCCTGTTTTTCACAAGTCACCTGCTCAGTTTGGGCCAATAAGTTTCTCACTGGAAAACTCCTTATATCCTTTGTGGAGTAATTCCCAGGGGTACATCCGTCTTTTATTCCAAGGCACAAATTCCTTTTTGGCATTTCCACATTAGGATGATTATGTAACTTCTTAGATAAAGCTGTATCAACATACCCTCTCTTAGGTGACATCTTGGCTTAAACATTCCATTGTATGAATCACCAGGGTGTTTTACGCTAATAAGCAGGGAGCATGTGTGACCTACTGCAGTCCCAGAGGGGCCCTCACAGGCTCTCTTCCAGCCAGTGCTGCTGGCTCTGTGGCCTGGAACATCACTGCGGCTTTTGTGCCTTAGCTTTCCCTTTATGGACCAGAGCTAATCGTGGTAATCTCAGTCCAGTAGGGAGAATTACCTGCACACGTCTGTAATGCCACAGTCCTATCCTTTCTGTTCTCTGAGTTAGACTCAAATGCAACACAGTTATGGTTCACGTTTTTTATCTTGTTTGCAAATCTTAGCTCAAAATCACACCTTAGTGATTGTTAATATTAGGAAGTTATAAGAAACTATTGAAATTTTGAAAGCACACTTGGATATATCTCAGTTTCTGAGAGTCTGGTATGGGGAAAAACCACCAAAGTCATTTTTTTGTCATTAGTTAAGCATGACACAGTACATCTTGGTGGTTAAAAGGCCTGTGCCCTGGGTTCAAATCCTGACTCTACAGTTTACTGGCTGAGTGATCTTAGACAAGTTTCTAAGCTATCCTGTGCCTTAATTTCTTCATTTGTGAACCAGAGATGACAGTGATGACAATAGTGCCTTCTTGTTGGGAAGATTAAGTAAATGGGTTCTTGTACCCTTCTTAGAATAGTACCTGGCACATAGTAGCACTTACTCTACAAAAATACTCAGTGCCTGCCGTGTACCAGGCACTAGGGATCCAGCAGGAATTTTTTGTTGTTGATCTTCTAGTGGGGAAATGCAGTCCATAAACAAATAAATATATAATACGTCAGGCAATAAAAGTGTTAGAAGAAAGTAGGAAAGAAAGTAAGGGGGGAGAGAGGGACAGGAGGTGGAGTGATGTTATTTACATAGGTGTGGACAGGGAGGCCACCTCTGGTAAACGATGTTTGCTAAGACCTCTGAAGAAAGGGAAGGGGGAGGGAGTCCTTTGGAAGTCTGAAGAAGAGATTTCTAGTGGAGGGAAGTGCAATAGAAAAGTCCCAGGTGAAGTGTGTGAAGAGTGTTGGGTGCTTCAGGCAGAAGAGATAAGTAATTACAAATAGATTAGAGCACACAGACCGTGTGAGGATTGGCTTTTGCTTGAGAGAAGTGGGAAGAATTGGAAGTGTCTGAGCAAAGGAGTGACAGAGTTTTCCCTCTGTAGTAGATGCATCCTGCTGGCTGCTGTGTGGACTGGCCTTTGTGGGGAGGGGAGTGCCCAGGAGGGAGGGTAGAAGCAGGACTCCTGTACCAGGCCAGCAAGATATAATGGTGGCTCAGACACCCCTGGAAGTGATAAACATGTGAGAAGCTGTGGGCCCTTGATAAGTCCTAGCTGTTACCATTCTGCAGCTTTGAGAGTTCATACTGACTTCTGAGCCTACTTCCTCACCTGCAAAATGAAGTGTTGGGTTCATTCATTCATCCTTCTTAGCTCTTAGAAAGTTCTTTGGGTTTCCTGAAAAGATGTGTAAATACCATCTGAATTTGAATGGGTTTGAGAGTAAGGGCTGCTGAATGAAAGCAATCTTGGGTTGAATCTCAGCTTGATAAGTGATTTTATAAAGTGAAGAATAATCCTTTGATTTGTTTTATGAGTGGAGTTGAAGATATTTGGATTGCTTGAGATGTGTTTCTTACATCTTGGGAATTTAAAGAATAGGAAGGTACTGAACCGTCCCAGAATACTTTAACATGGAAAATTGCCTTTTATCCCCCAAATGCTCGATTCCTTCTCAGTCTACAGAATGTTTCATTTTAAATATGAAGAGGAAGGAGAAAGCTTGAATGACTTTTTATTACAATTAAAGCTGAGCAGAGTCAAACTACTTTTTACGGGGGAAAGTTACTGGCAAATTAATTGCAGAGCTTTATTTTTATTCTTAGTTCTATAGTGAAGGCAGACTGCTCTATACTTGGATTTCAGGCATTTGTGTCAAAAACAACATAAACCACGACTGTGAAATTCCAAGATGAACTGCCTTACTACTGGAAACTGCTAAAAAGGCTAAAGAAGGGGGGGAAGGCCTGTCAAACAGATGGTTAACATCAAAAAAGAAGTATAAACAGGTCTTTGAAGATTTTGCTAAATGGTCTTCCCAGATGAAAAGAGTAGATCACTTCCTTTTTTCCTTCCCATTTACTGTGTTCTATTCATATGTGTGCATGCCACATTTCTAATATTGGGAGGAGACTACAGCATTGATGTCAATTCAACAACTGTTTTATGGGTATTTTGTTCTATGTATTTTGTATCTATATATTGTATCTATGTTCTTTGTATGGGTGTTTTGTTCTATGATACCATGGACCAAAAAGAAATATTGGAAAAGGCACAAGTCTTGTCTTCGAGGAGCTTACAGCTCACTCTGGGAAACAATGGCAGAATGTCATGGTTGGTAAGGTAATAAAGGCCTCACACCTCTAGCCTGAGCACTGAGTGGGGAGATTCACTCCCATATTTGGAGGATTAAGGCCGCTTTCTGGAGGAGGTGGCAAACTTCTGATGGAATGTGTATAGCAACTTCCACAGTCCCACAAAAGCACATCTTCCAACACCACATCACAGTTCCACTTATGGCCGGAATTCTAAATCCACTCTTCCCTATTCTGGCTGGCCCAACAACTAGCTAGAACCTGCTTCCAGAGGCTGTGTTTTGTCTCCTGCTCTGTTGCAGAGACATGCCTCCCTCCCTTACACTGCGACTGCCTTCGTAGGCTTTCTGTGGGTCTTGATCCCCTTAGCCTGACTTTGACCTTCCGATCACCTGTTTTCCGTGTATGTGTAGACACTCTGGCTGGAGCAGGGTTTCCTAACCTCAGCACTATTGACATTTGAGGGAAATCTTTTGCTGTGGGGGACTGTCTTGTGCATTATAGGATGTTGAGAACTAGAGGCCAGTAATGCCACCCCCTACTCCATGGAGAGGACCTCAGACATTGACAGATGGACCCCACGAGATGCAGGTGGGGAGTGCAAAATTGCCCCGGATTCAGAACCCGTTATTTAGAAGGTAACAGGGTTACTCTGGAAGCAGGGTTCTAGCTAGTTGCTAAGCCAGAGAGAATAGGGAAGAGTAGATTTAGAATTCGGGCCATAAGTGGAACTGTGATGTGGTGTTGGAAGACATGCTTTTGGGGACTGTGGAAGTTGCTTTAAGATTCCCATTATTCATATTTTTATACATGACACAAAATTTATCCAGTCTAATCTAGAGTAGAAACTTGCACGCCAGAAACGCCTTCTTTTCTATTTGGCAAGTCATTGCCTCCTGATACTACCCAAGTGGTCCCACAAGGAGCACCTAAGATGAAGCAGGACCCACGTAAGTCGCCCGTAACTATAATTCCCAGCTCAAAATGTCTTTGTGATATGGAGAAACTTGCATTCTGTTTTATCATATTGCATGTTTATTTTTGATTTAAACCTAATGTGCTCCCTGCACCTCTAAATACAGTCAAAGGGAAACATCCCAAATGTTTATCTTCTTTTATCTGGTGGCCTGATGCCCTTCCCACCCCAGACCCCAAATGGTGCTTGCAGCCTCCTTTGAGGAACAAGACACTGCACAGTTTTATTGGCCCATCAGGCTTTCAGCTCTCCATGATGGTCTTTGCCAGGCCAGTCTCTGCTCAGGATAAATATTCAAGTAAGCGGTAAAATACACTAAGTCAGCATCCTTTTGTTTACCTACTTAGGTAGGAGGGCACACATTTATTAAGCTATTTTTCTGTATTTCAATACATGATTAAAATTCTTAATTACTGCAGGAACTATGGTCACCGTTATCAAATAATTATTTTAGACACGCACACATTTGTGTTGTACCAAAGTAATTAGAGGACAACCATAAAACTTGGCAGTCAATGGCAGTTCCTAACATTCCATTATTTTCAGTTTATTTATGAGGAAACTAGAACTAGCCTCCTGCTTGTGTTTTAATTACTTAGCCACAAGAAGGATTGATTTCAGAAACCCTCAGTGCTGAAGGAGATAATGATGAACCCATCCCCCAGAGGAGTTCAGGGCTTCAGAGAGACTCACTGTTTCCTCCCCAGGGGATGTCACTCTGGGCCCTTTCGTGTGTCTGAGAGCCGCTGGGTGCACCCTGTCCTGAGAGCTCACTCCTGGGAAGGGTGACAATTGCTGAGAGGGAAGTGAAAGCCTTCTCCCAGGGAAAACAGAAGGAACACTGCTTCCAGCGTTTGGAATTGGCAGCATGAATGAAAGATATTTTAAGATTCTTTCCAGCATGGCACTGGGCGTATCCTGAGAGCCAAGGATGCGCTTCTGCGCCTTCTCCCCAGCCTCACCTTTCAGCGATTCCAAGAGGCAGATCTGGTCTTCAGCCAGTCTTTTTGCCAACGAGGAATGTGACAGGCCTGTGTGACAGCGCCCCAGGCCGGATTTCACTCTTCTCATTATGCTCCATGTTTCTGTTTTCATTTGCTGGTTTATAGTCCTCCCTTTTATTGCCTCTGTGATTTTACTTTCTTGTCGTCAGGTGGCATAAAGAGTTTCTTGGTTTGGTAGTTTCGTGGAAACTTGCGTGGCTCAGCTGGGTGGAAGGAGACCAACCCATTTGGATTTGGCAGTCATTTGGAGATCCCAGCTAGTGGGGAGGAAAACTCAGGAGGCAGGCTGCCAGGTGCTCCTTTGGTGTTTAGAGGAAATGGGGTTGAGTGACACAGATTTCTGGATTTCGTAAAAGGTGAGCTACACGGAGCAGGCATTAACACAGCGCAGCTCCTGGGCCGACCACTAACCAGGAGAGCCCTGGAAATGGAAACTTGGCATCCAAATTTGACCAAAGAGATTCAGAGAAAAGAGACTTCACTTATTTATTCACTCATGTATTATTTATTTATTATTCTTTATGGAGCTGGGCTCCATTTTGGTCGTTACTATGATAATTTTTTCCTTTCCAAAGAAGGAGGAAAAGGGGAAGGGGAAAAGGAAGAGGAAAAGAAAGAAGAAGGGGGCGGGGGAGGAGGAAGAAGAAAAAGAAAAACAACCATACACATGCTCACAGTTAGAATAATTGCTTCCGGGGCGCCTGGGTGGCTCAGTGGGTTAAAGCCTCTGCCTTCAGCTCAGGTCATGATCTCAGGGTCCTGGGATTGAGCCCCACATCATGCTCTCTGCTCGGCAGGGAGCCTGCTTCCCCCTCTCTCTCTGCCTGCCTCTGCCTACTTGTGATCTCTCTATGTCAAATAAATAAATAAAATCTTTAAAAAAAAAAAAAAGAATACTTGCTTCCTCTTCCATGTGACTTCCTTAAGAGCATGTCTGGTCTTCTCCAACTGTAGATTCCTTTCCTGCACACTGCCTCTTCCAACTGAAAATATTCGGAATGGGGCTAAGAGCTCCCGGCCAACATGGCAATATAGCCCAGAAAATAGAAATAAAATGTTTTGAACCCAGAGGCAGGTTATATTCCGCTGCCAATCAGATAACACATTTTCTATCTAAATTTAGATTATCTGCTACATGTTTATTTTAGGTTTGAATTGTTTAAATGATTAATTTATCTCACAGAGGAAGAGTAAGTGAAAAGTTGAAGAAATGTTTTAAATTAGCAGAAGTTCAAGTTGGCAGTCTACACTGATTAAACTCATCACATTTCAACCTTGGCCTGGATTGGCTAGTGTTGCTTCTACACCTAAGAATTAGTTGGAAATCTATAAATTCAGTAGGGCTTGGCCTAGGCGTGACTTTTTAAGAATGCTTGCGTGGGTACCTCTGTGGTGTGTGTGTGTGTGTGTGTGTGTGTGTGTGTGAAGGCTGAGTTGAATGGGGAGGGAGGGAAATTTCCAACTTATCTTAAAAGCCAGCCCTCATTTTAATTACCAAGAATAAACACAAGTACATTGGGGAGAGGAAACAAAAGGGCTGCCCGTGCCTTTGATCCCATCCATTTAGTGCCAGGGAAAAACTCCATCAAGAGAAGAGAAGAAACTGATGCTTAAAAAAAAGGGCTTTTTTGGTTTGGTTTTGTTTTTGTTTTTGCTTTGTCTTGTTTGTTTTTGACATGAGTGAGGCAGAGACACAAGTATTAAATTCATATCCTTTGAAGCTTTCTCTGTTAACCAGGGTCCACCTTAACACTAATCTGGAATCTGCCTGCACACCACTGGATTCCTGGGCAGTCCTGCCCACCTCACACATGCGCTGCACTGAGTGATGCAAAGTAGCTCATTGCCCTGGTAATCGCAGCTTCTTCCCTGGACAGGTTGGCCCACTTCCTCCCTAGCTTGTTAGATTCCTCCCTACTCCTTCTGTTAGCTCTGGGCCCTTCTGGGCAGGCTCTTCCTCCACCCGTCTTAGTGAGTAGGTTCTCAGCCTGAAAGAAAATTAAAAACAAACACATCTTGTTTACATGCAGCCCTTCTTTGGAAGGCAGAAGTCCCTGTCTTTCAGGAGGCCAATACTCATCTCCTCTCTCTCTCTCTCTCCTTCTGTTTTTGGCAGATAAAGTTTTGTTTTCTTGAAAAACTGATCTGTGTTATTGCTGAGGCCACTATGTACAGATAAAATAGAGGGAGTTTTATTTCTTGGTCTCTTCCTCCTCGGACAGAGTCTTGATGATTTCCTCCTTCTTGGCCTGGAGCCACTCTCCATAGTCTTGTGTGCTCCTTGGTCTTCAATCTGTGGGCCTCAGCCTGGTCTGCCAGAAGCTTCTGGCAAGCCTTGTCTACCTTCAGCTTGTGGATGTGTTCCACAAGAATCGGATTGTTTGTGAACACATAATGCTTCACTTTTAGGTACAGGCTGTGATCCATTTGGCGGTCAGTCTCCAGTGCAGAATTCTCATCCTCCTCATCCAGGTTACCTTCTGGGGCATTCCAGCAGGAGCAGTACCTTTTCTCTCAACAATGCCCTTCTGGCAGGCCAAGGTATTTTTCAGGCACGGAGCACAGGAATGGAGGGTCACAGACTTCCAGATGATCAGTCTGTCTTTGATCAGTTTCCGGATCTGCTGATAGGCATAGGCACTGGTGATCTCCTTGGTCTCCCTGGGGCCAACCAGACCTTCTTTTGTCACAGCAGAGGACCCTGGAGGCAAGCCTCTTCTGAAACCTGAGCATATCATGGTTGCAGCTGCCGTGGCAAGAGGAAAGCCATCCTTTTTAATTCTAGTCACTGTTGACCAGACTGATGCCATAGCCAGGACAGGCCAAAAAGTAGGTATCATCCCATTTCAAGGCAAAATGATGAGCTAACAATTATTCTAGAGAAGTTACAACCAAAGCTTTGCTCTAGATGATTTACAGAGATGATTTATGCTGTTGATGCCAGGTGATAGGCTATAAATGGAAATGAGAAGGAATGGGCTTAGTGACAACAAATGATGGATGCCCTTCCTGAGTGTGGGCAGGATGAGTGTTTTTTTCAGGTCTAGTGATGGTTTTAATCTATGTAATATTGTTCATTCTTAGTGGCCTCCTAGTGGTGCATAAACAGTCACAGACTCACCTAAAAGCCCTTTTAAATAATAATACAGTGTTAAAATAGAGTGTTACCCAGGAATCTTTTCGTAAGACATCTTTGTAAAGGCATCTTTTAGTAAATTGTAGCTCAGCTCCCTTCTTCAATGTTGAACTTGTGTTGAGCCAGCATGGTCTTTTATTTTTATTTATTTGTTTGTTTATTTTTAGAAATATTTTATTTATTTATTTGACAGAGAGAGAGAGGGATCACAAGTAGGCAGAGAGGCAGGCGGTGGGGGGGAGGGAAGCGGGCTCCCCGCTGAGCAGAGAGCCCCATGCGGGGCTCAATCCCAGGACCCTGATATCATGACCTGAGCCAAAGGCAGAGGCTTAACCCACTGAGCCACCCAGGCACCCCCCTGCATGGTCTTTCAAAAAATAAGTTGTACCCCATCAACCCTCCTTAAGATCACGAGGTGGGTTCTCAGTATTTAGAATGAAACCTTAATTCCCTTCCGTGGCTTTTAAGGCCTACGAGATCTGGCAGTATGTCTCCAGCTTCACTTGGGGGCCACACTCTCCTTTGCTCAGCTGCTCTTTAGCCAAAACTGGGCTCCCTGGTGTTCTTTCAGCAGCCAAGTGCACCTCTTGCGCAGGGTCTTTTCATTTGCTGTTCCTCCTGCCTGGAATGTGCTTCCCTAGGCACTTTTCTGATTTGTCACCCTTCCATCCTTAAGTGTTCCCTCCCACGAGGGTCCTTTCCTAGTTTAGGCCCTGAGAACAATCCGCTTTGGGTTGTAAAGATGGCAGTGAGCTGTCCTTCCCACCACTGAGAAGTTTTAATTCTAGAAGCCACAGGAGTTATATTGAAATTCATGTTAGCCATTAGGAGACATTGTTGAACCTCAGTTTAAAACATCAGAAAATACTCTTGCAAGCAATAAAAAATTGGGTTGGCAAGATCAAGCACAGAAAAGATAATAGTGAAAAAAAAATCCTAAAGCATAAACACAGCAATGAAATGGTTAATACTAGCGGTACCATTTCCTCATCCTGATTAGGGAGACTCTTAGGCTCTTTAAAGTAACCCGCTATTGAACATTAATTATAACCTCTTCTCTAAGAGGGATGAGTTGTGAAGGTGCTGTCTCTCCAGATTCCTTATTTGATTTTATTTAACAGCACTGACAGAGTGCTCACTGTGCTCCAGGGACTTCTCTAAGTACCTGACAAATGCCGCCTCAGGTTGTGGTCTTTGGAAGCAACAGTTGAGACAGAGATTGGGATGTGAGATGCTTATTAGCAATTAACACCTTGGAAGAAAAGGGGAGAAAGCAAGAAAATGTCAGACTGCAACTCAGGCTCAGTAAAGCCTTGGCCAGCATGGCAGGGAGCATGAGGCGAGTGCGCCCACCAGCGTCCTGCATCAGACCAGAATGGCCTGCCTTAATAACCTCTCGCCCCCACCTCACTTAGTCACCAAGCATGGGTTCCCCGAGGAAGTTCACGGCCTTAGGCAAGTCCTGCCTGAGATGCACTGAAGGTGCTGAAAGCTGGAGTCTGCCCACCATCCTTTCTGCACCTGGGCAGCAAGTTCGCCCATGAAGGGGGATCTGGGCAGTGCATCTCCGGTTCTGTTCAAATATTGACTCATTTAACCCTCAGACAATCCTATGAGGTACGTCCTTTAATTATTCCCATTTTACAGATGAGAAAAATGGAGGCATGGAGAAATCAGTTAACTTGCCAAATTAGATCAGGTAGCAGAGCTGAGATTTGATCCAGGTAGTGAGGATCCAGGATCAGAGCTCTTAACGACTCAGCAATCCTGTCTTAGCTGTTACTTCAGAGGATTGCAGATAGCCTAAAAATAGTAACAGTAGCAATTTTGTTTGTTATTAGTTCTTTCCAAAGTCCTGCAAGCCTGCCTCTGTGTGAGTGTGTGTGTGTGTGTGTGTGTTTATGTGTACATGCTTGCTTGGTACTAGTAAATTTATTAAGAACAATATCAAAAGAATGATCATTTTGGGTTACCTACTACACTTGAGTATTAAATCCTGCCTGTAAAAATCTAAGAATCAGGACTAGACGCTCAGAGGCAGTGACTGGACTTGAAGTCCAGAACAAGATGGCATGTGCTAAGCTTCTCATGTTGGCCTGGAATAAGGAAGGGCCCCTTTCGAGTTTAGGGTAAGATAGTGAGTAGGTAGAAAAAAGCCACTAAAATACAGTCCTGTGCTCTGCCAGGCACAGGAATGAGGAGGTAGCTAAAAAGCCCGAAAGATTAGCAGGTGGCCCCACGGGAAAAGGGTAAAGGAAGGAGAATGAGGCGCAGCAGGAGTGAGCATGGTGGGCCCTGGGCCCTTCAGAGAGGGAGTAAGACAGTACAACACTATCAAGGACCAGGAGGGCAACAGAGGAGCAAAGAGACAGGGGTCCGGGCTGCTCCTCAGAGGGGAATTGTGTGGACTTAGAAGAGGAGAGAAAAAGAGGAAATCCAGTAGAACATTTTTTCCATCACCATTTTTGGCATTATACACACGTGTACTCTTTTTTTTTTTTTAAGAGTTTATTTATTTGTTTGACAGACAGAGATCACAAGTAAGCAGAGAGGCAAGCAGAGAGTCAGAGGGAAGCAGGCTCCCTGCTGAGCAGAGAGCCCGATGTGGGGCTCCATCCCAGGACTCTGAGATCATGACCTGAGCCGAAGGCAGAGGCTTAACGCACTTAGCCACCCAGGCGCCCCCACACGTACTCTTTTTTTTTTTTCACTTTTCCTCATACTTTATTTGTTACAAACATACAATTTTTAAATATAGACTGTAAAACTCCATTTGCGGAATCCGCTATGGTGAGGAGTGCACACCAGCAGTAAGGGCTCTTCAGCTCTTGTCTCTGTTTCTGTCAGTTGTGCTAGTTAGTGGTCAGCACGGGATCCGCCGGTCACAGGCACACGTACTCTTTTAAAGATATTTTTTAATCATTTCCTATATTATGGAATTAGATTTATTTCTGAAGACCAGGCTTAGGTAAGGGAGAGAACCGAAGATGAGGAGTTTTATTTTGGATGACGCAGAACACATCTCCCCCTACATGCAATTCTATTTCTGCCCAGAAGAGCTCACAAAGCACCGGTCATTATCCTTAAGACTCTTAGCTCCAGTAGAATTTACTGGCTTCTCATTCCTTTTGCCGATGTTTGGTAAAATCCCCTCTTTGAGCTCAAGAGAGAAATTTTGTTTTAATCCTTAACTTTATTTATATGTGAGATCCTGGTCCAAAAGGCTGGAACAAAACTTGGTAGTAAGTGCTCTTTGCAAAAATAGTCATCAGGAATAACATTCAGCAACATGCTGTGTAAACTTCCCAGCAGACCAAATGTGTTCTCTGAGCCAGAGGGATTAAAGGATTCTACTTGGGATCTGAACAAAGGTCATTCTTGCTACCGAACTAACTCGATCACCGTCACTGACCCTTATGGAAGCAGCTTCTTTTCCTTCTCGTCAGCTCTGTTCCATTCTCTTATGCATATTTCAACAAGATTCACCCATTTTCATAACACCTAAATCTGTCTTAGAAAACCGATAACTCACAGCATAATGGTTCTCTAAAGAATTCACAGAGCAAAGGAAGTACGGAGATGTTAAAAAAGTAATTTACAACTATGGGAGAACGCATGATGCCAAGTACAGATCTTCCTTAAAGGAGATCCTCCAGCTCCTTTATGACACTGACCCAAACTGGGGGAATGTAAAGAGGTGCTTCTGTATCTGGAGCACAGTGTTTCTAACGCCATCCTCTTGAAAGCCAGCATGATTGCAGAGAAACACAGCTGCTTCCTGGAGCAAATGGTTTGTATTTGGGGTGGGGGACAAATAATTTCTTCCTGAACTCTAGAGGATTTTATTGAAGA